GAGTTTCTTTTGAACGTAGAGCCAACAGAACTTGTTGGTATAGCACTGGAGAAAGGAGGAGCTGTGATGATACTAGGTCCTCACTGTGAAGGCATGTACCAGAGGAGAAGGCCATTTACTAAGGTGTGGCAGGCAGAGGGAGGGGGAAAAGCCTCTGGAGGCGGGGATCAAGAGTCCTGTTTCAGACCTGTCCAGTTAGAGATGTTCCAGTGGAAGTGTGTAGGCCATTTGGTGAACCAACTGGAGTTTAGTTAGTTGAATGAAAATGAATAAACACATGCTGAATCTTGAAGTCAAGATTTGATGAGATTATGTTGCACATCTCTCCAGTTTATTGGGCTTGAGTTCCCAGGTCTTTGGTTAGGTAACTGCAGTTTGTTGGCCTATGAAGCTTGTTTTTCCCACACTAGCTGGAGGTGGAGAGCAGCCTGCCGATTCTTCTGTGCCAGTGGCAGAGCACATCCAGGCTTGGAGATCTTGCTGGGAATTAGGCCAGTTTGGCAGCTGGGGAATAAATTAGTTTACTTTAGTCTTTTTCTCTCCAGTAAGATCAAGGGGAAGATGGAATAGTAGACCACTTGGTCCAGAAGGAAATCAGCTACAGCAGCCTCCTCCTCTCCCCATATCCTCCTCTGCCTCCAGCTGTGGTCTAGAAAGGTGACAAACCTCCTAACTTCTTCAGCCCGTTTTCTACTGTGTATACTGCTGGACTGGGAGATCCCAGGCTGCGGGCTCCTCGAGAATTGATTAATTCTTGCCCTGAGGTCAGATGTCCACAGTGAATGAAGTTTTCCTGTTCACTCTTTTTCCTCAAATCCTGAATAGTGAAGTTAGCAGTAGAACTTTGGAGCTAGACTGCCTGGGTTCAAATCCCAGATTAGTCACCTACAAACTTAGATAAGTGTGTTTTATTTTTCTGCCTCATTTCATGAACGTAAATAACTTCAGAGTGGTTGTACTTTATGGTTGTTAACAGAGAAAATGTTTGTGGTAGTAGCTGGCAAATAGTAAGCACTCATTGTTTTCACTGTTAATAACTGTCTTTTTTTTTTTTTCTTTTTTGTTTTTGAGAGAGAGGGAGAAACAGATTCACTGGATCACTCCCAAATGACCACAACAGCCAGAGCTGGGCCAGGCCATAGTCAGGAGCTAGGAGCCTTCTCCAGGTTTCCCACACAGGTGGCAGGGGCCCAGGAACTTGGGCCATCTTCCACTGCCTTGCCAGGTGCATCAGCAGGGAGCTGTATCGGAAGTGGAGAAACCGGGACACAAACTGTCACCCACATGGGACGCTGGTACTACAGGCTGCAGCTTAACCCGCTGTGCCACAGTGCTGGCCCCTAATTGTCATTATTTTTATCTTGGGCAAAGAAAATAGGTGCCTACTATCCTTACTGTAATTACTTACAACACTTATAATTTTTAAAGTTTTTTTAATATATGTTCAAGTTGCCATATAAATTATATATATTTACTAATGTATATATTTTAAAATATGTATATATTGTGGAGTGGCTAAACCAAGCTAATTAACATAGATATTACCTCACATACTTAGTCTTTGTGGGGACCTATCTTAATTTGAGGACTCACAATATATATTTCCTTATATAAAGTATGATCTTTGTCCTCCAGGAATTCGCATTCTAATGGGAGAGGAAGTGTAAAAATATGGGCTATAGGGCTTACCTACTTAAAATAATAGGGCAGTGAGAGCTATGAATAGTCTCTTCCTTTTCGGTCAGTCTGTGACTTGAGAATGAGTTCAGATGAAGGCCACAGGGCTGAGCAAGCTTTGTTACAGAGGGGGCTTGCCTGGATAGACTAGAAGCAGACATTGAAGGCAGCAAGTGTGTTAGATGGCAGCTAAGATAGGGAAACAAGGAGGGAGAGGGGCTTGTGGACAATGAAAAGAACAGATGTGCCAAGGAAAAGGCCCTCAAAGATAGTAGTGATTAGGATCCATCAGGAATGTACCAACAGCAGGTATAACTGGGCTTTTATCTTTTCTGATTTGGCTTCTCAGTTCATAGGTCTATCAAAGTGGCACCATTGACACTGTCTTCCTTAAAGTGCGTTAAGGACTGTCATTGTCCTCTTGGACATGATAGATGTGTTGGATAATGATATGAACTCCTCACCTGTTGACCAAATTACTCAGAGTGTTGAGCCATAGATTAGTATCAACCTGCAGTAAAGAAAGGACCACTGATATGATTGTTTTTTCTGTTGTAAGATTTTTTTTAATTGACTGAGATTAACACATAGTTAATATAGTCCTTTGTCCTGTTACCTAGTCTCCATACAGCAACGTCTTGCCCCATCTCTCCTTTTTCGATTGGGCCATTTAAAGCAAATCTCAGACTGCATATAATTATATTCACAAATATTTCAGTGTTTATCTGTAACTGATAGGGATACAATACTCTTAAACAGCATGGGGTATGTGTATGAGAAACTACAATATCATCACATCTCACAAAATGAACAGTAATTCTGTAGCATTATCTAATACCCAGCTCATGTTCAGTGTTCCCAGTGGCCAAGTATATCTTTTTTTTTTTTTAAAAAACGATTTATTTATTTGAAGACCGAGTTACAGAGAGGCAGAAGCAGAGAAAGAGAGGGAGAGAGAGGTCTTCTATCTGCTGGTTCACTCCCCACATGCCCGCAACAGCTGCAGCTATGCCAATCTGAAGCCAAGAGCCAGGAGCTTCTTCTGGGTCTCACACGTGGGTACAGGGGTTCAAGGACTTGGGCCATCTTCCACTGCATTCCCAGGCCATAGCAGAGAGCTGGATCGGAAGTGGAGTAGCTGGCTCTCGAACTGGTGCCCATATGGGATGCCAGCACTGCAGGCAATGGCATTACCCCCTAAGCCACAGCGCCAGCCCCAATAAATACCATAATTCTTTTTATTAGATCACATAGAGAAGACCATGTCTCTGGTTATCTCAGTTAGTTCAGATGCTGGGATCTGTTGGCCATCACTGATGTGAGCTTCCAGGATCCATTGTTTCATGTTCAAGATTTTGATTTTTTTCATTCTTAGTATTTTTTGTATGTATATATTCATTTGAATTCTACTGTGAACAACTCTTATTCCTGTATTTTTAAGAAGTCACAAAAATGCTGTAATATAAAGGAAAAATAACAATAATATCTAATGTTTTTCAAGATCTAATGGCTTAGGAGGTTATTTAAAGGAAACAATGAAGAGGTTAGATACTGGAACCTAGAATCACTATCAATTTCAAATGCAGTATCACTGCAATGTTGTCATCAATGTTGTTTCTTTTTGAACAACTTATGGTGTCTATTGCAAATAATTTACCCAAACAATTTTATTACTGGCAATTTCAGTGTACGTTAAAATCATGCAGGGGCCAGCACTATGGCACAATAGGTTAATTTTCCACCTGCGGCACTGGCATCCTATATAGGCGTCAGTTCTAGTCCTGGCTGCTCCTCTTCAGATCCTGCTCTCTGCTATGGCCTGGGAAAGCAGTAGAAGATGGCCCAAGTCCTTGGGCCCTTGCACCCAAGTGGGTGCAAGAAGCTCCTGGCTTTGGATTGGCTCAGTTTTGGCCGCTGCGGCCATTTGGGGAATGAACCAGTGGATGAAAGACCTTTGTCTCTGTCTCTGCCCCTCTCTATATGTAACTCTACCTCTCAAATAAATAAATTAAATCTTTAAAAATAAAAATCATGCAGAAGTACTTAGTACCTATACATAAAATTGAATCAGTGTCTGAATTCAAATAATTTTGAGCAAGTTTTTCTGCTGGGATATTTGAAAGCCTTATGAAAGGTGAGAGAGTATAGTAATATCCATCACACTGCAGACCACATTGAGTCACCTCACAAATGCCAAGACAACACCAAATTGTTGTGACAACCACATTTTCATAAAGACCCTCTGGGAGCCACTTAAGAAATTAAGAACCACTGATCAAGCAAATATAAGGAAAGAAATCAAATAACCAATGTAAACATTGGAAAACAGGAGATAAAAATCATCTCTTTTTTTGTTTATTTTACTTTATATCTTAAAAGAATTCTAAAAATTCTTAAGAATTTTTAAAATTATTAGAATTAATGAGATAATTAAAAGTGGCTGGATATACACCTAAATGTAACAGTTTCTAGGTCACAGGCTAGGTGTACAACTTAATTTTCATGTTAAAATTTCTATTGTACTTTGTCTTTCTTCTCATAGAACCACTTGTTTCTTTGCAATTGGTGCTGTTCTTAGGAATGGCAAGCTTTTTATATATATATAAAAGATATAAAAGATTTATTTCATTGGGGCCGGCACTGCAGCATAGCAGGTAAAGCCGCTGCCTGCAGTGCTGGCATCCATTTTGGGTGCTGGTTCGAGTCTTATCTGCTCCACTTCCAGTCTAGCTCTCTGCTATGGCCTGGGAAAGCAGCAGAAGATGGCCCAGGTGCTTGGGCCCCTACACTTGTGTGGGAGACCCTGAAGAGGCTCCTGGCTCTGAATCGGCCCAACTCTGCTGTTGCAGCCATTTGGAGAGTGAACCAGTGGATGGAAGATCTCTCTCTCTCTCTCTCTCTCTCTCTCTCTCTCTCATTTATTTCATTTACTTGAAAGGCAGCATGACAGGAGGGAGAGAGAGAGCGAGCTTCCATCCGCTGGTTCACTTCCCAAATGACAGAACAGCCAGGGTTGGACCAGGGTGAAGCCAGGAGCCAGAAACTCCAGATGAGTCTCTCACATAGGCAGGGGCCCAAGCACTTAGGCCACTTTCCACTGTTTACCCAGACACATTAGTAGGGAGCTGGATTGGAAGTGGGGCCCTAGGACAGGAAGTGGCACTCCTGTTTGGGATACCAGTGTCACAGGCAGCAGCTTATCTTGCTATACCACAATGCCGTGGCCCTCAAACCATTTTATATTATGGGACTTTTCTTCCATTCTTATTTGGCTTGTATGTGGTACCTTGGCTCCCCTGAAAGATTTTTTTTTTTCCTCAGTTCCTTGGCTTCCCTTTCACAGTACAGCCCAGGCACAAGGCCTGAGTTGAGGTGTACATAGGGAAGGCCTGCTCTGTCTCCTCTTTCTATATAGTCAGTGTAAGAACATAGCCTTTGGTAAGCACCAGGAGGCCAAGATTTTCATACATTTTAAAATTGTTATTATTTTATATTTTGATAAAACAGAGATCTCCCATCTGCTGATTCACTCCCAAATGCCACCAACAGTCAAGACTTGGCCAACCCCTACCCAGGAGCCTGGAACTCCATCCGGGTCTCCCATGTGTGTGGTGGGGACCTAACTCCTTGAGCCGTGGCCTGCTCCCTCCCAGGGTATACATTAGCAGGAAGCTGGGAGCAGAGCTGGGGCTTGAACCCAGCCATTGTGATAAGGGATGTGAGTATCCCAAGCAGCACCTTGAGTTGCTCTGCCAAACATTCCCCCCCGCCCTAGATTTTCATTTTAGGCATGTCTTCTTCCTTTTCTTCAGGCCTTCTGGATTTCAGGTGCCTAAAAGGTCCACTGCCATTACCATGGCATTTTGTTTGCTTTTAGGATAGAAAAGCAGTTGAGAGTGACTTGAAGAAGGCATACACATAGGGAATAGAGAAGGTAAGAGCATGCACTGTAGGGAAAGGAGAAGCCCTCGGGGGAATGACAGGTGGGAAGAGGATTGCAGAGGAATACCTAGCTCAGGCAGGTGCAGACTTTGTGAAGGAAGCAGGAAGGGGGAGGGCCTTCAGGAGAGTTGTGGAGTCGTAGTTGTTAAATTGCTATGTCTTGGCTCTAAGTGTTGAAAGACCTTGAGGCTGGGGAGCATTAACAGTGGCTTGCAAACTTACTTTACCCTGACTCACAGGGTAAAAACTCACAGAAAAAACAAATGATAGCACCCAGAAAGTAACCACATAATGAAAACAAGTGTTTCATGAAATAATATCGTATTTTCAGTATAGTCTGATAATTTTCATTTCTGTTCTGCTCTTAAGAAGAAATTCTACTTTTGATCAAATAAATTAGTGATTTATCAACCCTATCAAAACCCAGTGTTATTTTTATAGCAGATATCTTTTTTTTTTTTTTTGACAGGCAGAGTGGACAGTGAGAGAGAGACAGAGAGAAAGGTCTTCCTTTTGCCGTTGGTTCACCCTCCAATGGCCGCCGCGGCCGGCGCGCTGCGGCCGGCGCACCGCGCTGATCCGATGGCAGGAGCCAGGAGCCAGGTGCTTTTCCTGGTCTCCCATGGGGTGCAGGGCCCAAGCACCTGGGCCATCCTCCACTGCACTCCCTGGCCACAGCAGAGAGCTGGCCTGGAAGAGGGGCAACCGGGACAGAATCCGGCACCCCGACCGGGACTAGAACCCGGTGTGCCGGCGCCGCTAGGCAGAGGATTAGCCTAGTGAGCCGCGGCGCCGGCCGCCATTTGACTTTGTTTATGGAACAAAACTTGTTTACATTGTGAGAGCTGAACTTGGAAGTCAGGCCTTTTCTTCTACCGGTACTGGGGACCTCAGCTGGGAATGTGCATACTAGGTGATTCAACTTTTTTGCTGTTCTTTGTGTGTACCAGAGTGACTTTGCAAGTATTGAAATGTATTTCATGTTTTTTTTTAAATATTTATTTATTTATTTGAAAGAGTTACACAGAGAAGGAGAGGCAGAGAGAGAGAGACCTTCTATCTGCTGGTTCACTCCCCAATTGGCCGCAACAGCCGGAGTTGTGCCGATCCAAAGCCAGGAGCTAGGAGCTTCCTCTGGGTCTTCCCATGTGGGTGCAGAGGCCCAAGGACCTGGGCCATCTCCTACTGCTTTCCTAGGCCATAGCAGAGAGCTGGATCAGAAGTGGAGCAGCCAGCACTTGAGCTAGTGCCCATATGGGATGTCAGCACTGCAGGTGGTGGCTTTACCCACTATGCCACAGCACCAGCCTCATGTATTCGTGTTTGTAATGTTTTTACATCTACATAAACAAAGCAGATAAAATTAATCTGGGATGTTCAAGATAAGAACTTGGAGTTGTGAATAACTAGGGGTATGGGAGAGACTTCTAGGGTTCTGGTAATATTCTGTGCCTTGATGCAGGACATTGGTTACACAGGTGCTTTTCCTTTGTGAAAACCAGGCTATGCCTTTATGATTTCTGTCCAGAGTGAAACAATATTGCGACTACAGGATCTGGGTGATAAATCCTCACCTCCAGTAGGGTCTCCTGTGTGAGCATCTGTGTCGATTTGGAGTTGCTACCCACTTCTGCTGCTGGCTATCCTGAGGTTCTCCCTCCTGTTTGTTGTCAAGTTGAGCTCTCAGGTTGCATTTCATTCCTTGATTCCCTCCCTATTTTTTCCTCTCTCACTCTTCTGGTGCACATGCTTTTTATAGCTTTTGGAGGAAAGGTGCATGGAAAGTAATTTTTTTCAGAACTTAAATGTCCAAAAATGTTCTACTGCTCTCAAACTTGAATTTTCCTAGATATGGAATTTTAATTTGAAAATTATTTCCTTTGGAACTTTGTGGTTTTTTGTTTGTTTGTTTGTTTGCTTTTATTTAGGAAGCAGAGAGACTCCCTTCCACTGGTTCACTCCCCAAATGCCTGCAACAGCCAGGGTTGGGCCAGGCCAAAACCAGAATCCAGAAACTCAGTCCAGGTCTCCCATGTGGGTGGTAGGGACCCAACCACTTGAGCCATCACCAGCTGCCTTCCAGTGTGCACATTAGCAGGAAATCTGGGGCTAAGATCCAGAACCAAATCTGATATCGGATGCAGGTATCTTAACCACTAGGCCAGTTGCCTGCTCTTCTTTGAAACTTGGATGACATTAGTATTTTACCTTTTTATCTCTTGCGTTGAGAACTCTGTGAGCACCGTAAGTCTGTCTAGTCTCTTTTTTCAGAATTCTTCTTGAATTAGTCTGTTAATTATTTCCTCCCCTCCATTTTCTCACTTCCAAGATACCCAATTCCCTAGTATTCCAGTTTACTTCTATTCTCTGTCTCTGACTGTATTTTATGTCATGTCTTCTCGGAAGTGATTTTCTTTTCTATTTTTTTTTAAAGACTGTTTTATTTATTTGAAAGGCAGAGTTACAGAAAGAGAGGGAGAGACAGAGGCCGCGACAGCCAGAGCTGGGTCAGGCTGAAGCCGGGATCCAGGAGCTTGCCATCTTCCACATCTTTCGCAGGCACATTAGCAGAGAGCTGGATTGGAAGTAGAGCAGCTGGGACTCGAACTGATGCCCATATGGGATGCTGGCATCACAGGCAGCAGCTTAACCCACTACACCACAATGTCAGCCCCTCAGAAGTGAGTGTGCTCTGTACTCTACTCTCAGTGATGCCTTGAGTCCCCAAGGTCAGAGACCCTCTGTTTACCCTTTTTAATGAATAAACCGCTTTCTACTTCAAGCGGAGTATAACTTTGGAGAGGCAGTGTAGTAATTTAACTGCTTCTTAGAGAGCTTTCCCCATTTGTCCCTCTCACCATTTCTCTACCCTAACCCTAGTTTTAGCAGTACCTAATGGTGCCACTTTGGACATTTTGTTGAAGCTGTGTTGTAACTGGGTTGTTTCTTAGCTTTCCCCCTTGCTCATAAACATTCTTCTAATTCAATTATCTGATTCAGCTTTCCAGCTTCAAAAATTTGTTCATATTTTTAGACTTTCCTTTAAGAAATTGCTTTTTATTTCCTACAAAATTTTAAAAGTTTTGAACAAAATTAGATCATGCCTTAAAACTGTTCTAGACTTTATCTCCACAAATACATGGCTCAAGGTGTTAAGTGGCATTGCCCAGTGCAATACCATGCCACACAGTAGCCACCGTTAGCCACACAGGTACTTGGAATGTGGTTAGTGCCACTGAGGAACTGAATTTCAAATTTTATGTAATCTTGATAGATGACATTTAAATAGTCATATGTGAGGGGGCTGGAGTTGTGGCACAGTGGGTTAAGTTGCCACCTGTGACACCAGAATCCCATATGGGCTCCAGTTCAAGTCTCTGCTGCTCCACTCGTGATCCAGCTCCCTGCTAATATGCCTGAGAAAACAAGACAGCCCAATTCCTTGGACCCCTGTAGCCACGTGGGAGACTTGGGTGGTGTTCCAGGCTCCTGGGTTTGGTCTGGTCAAGCCTGGCTGATTGGTGGCTATTTGGGGAATGAAACAGCAGGTGAAAAGTCTCTCGGTCTCTCTCTAACTCTACCTTTCAAGTAAATACATTAATCTTTTAATAAATAGTCACATGTGGCTAATAGCTACCATACTAGATAGTGCAGTTCCAGTACTGGGGAAGTAGAAGCTGGAATGTAAGTTCTAGTAAATATTTCCATCCTAAGGAAGATTTATCTAGTTTCATTCTACCTGATTTTTTAACTTAGTGATTTATATTATGAGCTTATGGATTCTTACATTCAGTGGGCTATAATCTGTGACTTTTACTACATACTTTCATGCTCAGATTGTCCCAGGTTTGGCCAATAGGAATGCTGTCAAGGTTTCTTCCATGTCCTACCATTCATTCTGGATTATTTCTGGATCATTTACTCTCAAAATGGATGTTACAGCTCATGTGTTTGCCTTATCCCATCTGGAACCACCCATTTCTCTAAGGAGCCCAGTTCTTAGTGGTGTGGAGGAGGCTATTTGGACACCAAGGTTTGGGTACTTCCTTGGTAACTCATTGCTACTGGGGCCTTACTGCTTCTAGGTCCTCACAGCTGACAAAGCATTGTAATTATTGGTGGTTATTATATTAGACAATACAGATGTGGAGCATTTCTGTTGTCACAAAAAGGGGAGTATTGGGATTCCTAGAGTTTAGGAACTCAAAGGCCACCACCCATCTGCACACAGCTGGCACTTGGTCTTATGGGTTGGATACAGCTGCCTGGTGATGAGAAATTCCTGCCAAGGCTGGTACTGGGGCCACTGTGCTGCTTGAGGGATGCCGACCTCTTCTCATCTTTGGCAGATCATAAACCAGAAGCCAGTTGCCAAGGGAATCTGATTAAATCGGCATAACTTGGACTATAATTTCTTAAGGTTGGCATCATTGACATATTAGGCCAGGGGGCTCTTGTGTGCTTTGTAGGGTGTTCAGTAACATCCCTGGCCTCTGCAGAATTGATGCCAGTA